CTTCGTGGCGACAAAAATATCGTGACTAGTCCATATATACAATTAATAGTGCTTGAAAAATACTCTACGAGCTGCATTGGCAGCAGCCTCGCTCAGATATATTGAATATCTTGACCAAGCGATATGGCATCCACAAGATGAGCACTAAGCTCTATTAATTATTAATTCAAGTGCAGCCTCGTAGCTCACATGTTTAGACTGTTGGCTATAATTAAGACATGTCCTTAGTGTCGTGAGTTCGAATCCCATCGCGCTACCGATCTTAACAATCGGATCAAGTGTAGTATTCAAAACTGTCCAAGCACTTATTAAAACCATTACAGTCAAAAATAATTTTTATGCCTTTGCTTTGTTTTACCTTTAGGAGATGAACTGTCCAAAATTCTGCTTAATTACTCAGTCAACGAAAAGATCAACCGCACTTCTGCGCATACTCTGAAAAAGTTTGCGGAACTGATTTCTAACATTGAGGACTACCGGCATGCCGAGGTTGATCGTCTGTTTGCTAAGGTAATAACTCCGCTCTCCCGCTATGGGGATGAGGTGAAAAAGATACGGGTAGCTTAATCACTGACTTTCTTCTCAACGCCCACATTTAGGCTAACCTTAAAGCTGAATTGTCTGCTCGAAAAAAGGAGATCGCTCAGTTGAAACGACTTGGCCAGAACAGCGTTCCTTCGAGAGCTGTAAGTCATACTTTCTTGCCAGCTTTTTGTCAGCTTGCTTTGGTAATTCTCATATATATTTAAGATACATGCTTGATTTAAAGCATAGTAATCTACGATTTGGAAAATTTAATTATTACAAGGATACAAATCAGACCGCTGGCCGTCCTTGTACGGAAGAGATCCCTTTCCTATAGATTCGCGTTGAGAAGTCAGGAATGGCTTTGAGAACCAAAACGATAATATTGTTATCCTAATAAATCACGGCATTATTTTACTTATGTTAACCTTCGTGTTCGACCACAACTAAACCAGAACATGCAGTAGATCTCTAAAGTCCTGAAACATTTAGCATGCTGTCAATAGGGTATTTTCCTTTTGCAGTAAGCGAAATCGTAGTACCTGAAAATAGAATCCAAATTCTATCAGGGCGAAAACTAATTTTTTGGCATCTTCTCGATTATCTGTTTGAACTCTACTTTAAAATAATGACTGTTCATATGACGCTTGTTTTTCCCTGCTGATTTTGGAGGAATGTATTTATTATGTAATTATTATATAATTATTTATATATAGTAAATGTCTTTATCAGTGACCAATCACAGGAAATTCTACACAAAATTCAAAAATTAGGAAGACGCACTTAGGTGGGTTTGTAATATAGATACTGGCAGGATATAATCCCGTAATATTTGAGGTTGACCAGGGTGCTGACTCTTTAATGCGCCTTTTTTCGACCACGTACAGAACCTCAGCCGGTAAGAAGATGGCTACTAAAATGGTTCACATTTTCCAATCGATTTTTGATGCCCTTATAAACCCAAATATATTTTATAGACGACGTAAGATATTTTCTACAGCAAACCACATCCGCTTCCACTTGTTTGCTCAAAGAATTTATGTAAATGTAGGTCATAAACACTTTTGCGCCAAATACTTACAAGAAAAAATATTTTTGAGCAAGGTTTTTTATGAAACATATCCGAATTTATGACGGCATCAAAAATTAACCGAAGAAAACCACTCCACTTAAGTAGTCATTTTGTTTTCTATGGAAGGTCGTGAAGAAGAGCAGTGAAAAGTTGGCCTTCCGATGTGTTTGAAGTAGTGTGGGTGTGTGCCGTCTAATTATCTACCTTTGATCCCCACAAAAATCATCTTTCCTAATTAAAAATGCGTTTCAGAAATGCGAGAAAGATTCAATGACAGCGTTAACTGACTTTAGATCGGGTTGTGTATCAACGCTGCACATCCCGTGCGCCCAATCGATTCGAAATTTTTTCCATTTAAATCTGGACATGGAAAGCAGCTTAACAATGGTTATCAAAGCAGATGGCACAAAGAGAGCTCATGGTATTTTAAGAAAAATACCTAGCAAGTTTTTATCAGTATAGTCAAATTGAGCTTCATTGCGGAAATAGCGAATGTTCATCCTGCTGGTAACGACTGTGAGACAGCATTAGCGAGAGTCTGAGGTAGCAGTTGCGTTTGCGCACTGAATAGACGTTAGGTCACTTAAGGGAAGAAAGCTTTCGTCCTTGAGCTCCCTATTCATATCCAAAATTCGCAAAAAAGTTTAACTTTAACAAGGCTACAAATGACAAATATGTGAGCCAGTCGCAAACTGCCGCTACTGACACTATGTTAATTATATGTACAACATTTTTGTCAGCAAATGAGAATCGAGTTTGCGTTTACATGTGGCAACAGTAGCTGAAGGGACCACCTCGTCAGGGTGTCCGTTCCGCGCTCTAATGACCCTTTTTGAGAAGGCGTTTCGTAGAACGTCCACAGGGACCAACTGCCTCTGCAGTTTAAAGCGATGACCATGCAAAAAGCCTGGCTAGAGAGAAACTCCAAGCCTCGAATTTCGTGTTATTAGCACAATATCCTAACCGACTGAGCAACCTGACGTCAACGAGGAAATACTCTGTGTAAAAGTATGCACATAGGGGGTGTTTACCTCCTGTCCTATCTAAGCCCGGATTGGAGGGAGGAAGTGTCATAGTTACTTTTTGTGGACCACGAATCCGACACGAAGGTTGGCAAATGCATTGTGCAGCGCTTCCGTCCTGTGTGTCATGGAGCTGAATAATGGTTGCCATGACCTACATAACGACAGCAGGCTATGTTCTTTTACCGATAGCATCTTTAAACTCACAACAGGATTTATTATACTTCTGTCCACAAGTCTCCTGTTTTGAAATTTGTCATGCATTTTCTTTGCTGGCTGGTTATTTACGGTTAACTTGCCATTACCAACCAATCACGTTGATCGAAATACTCCATACTGGGGACCAAGTTATTAAATAAGTTGATAAGATAATCAAGGGGCCTTCTTCTACAAAAAAAACAACGTAAATATGACCCTTACCTCAATCTTAGGTTTTCCAATGGACAATTTGGTAGAGGTACGCTGATCTATGCATAGTTTTAAGAATTTGTAAAGACTTTGGTGTAAGTTTCCTACAATATCGAAGAACAAACAGCCAATGGAACATTGCAGATATATATGTTTGAAGTACAGCATAGGGTCCGGGTAAGAGTCTGCTGGGAGGATTGTCTACCCCCGTCTCTCCCTCTCACTCAGAGTCTACGACTCATTCATGTCTCTGTTGCAGTACCTTTGTCAAGAGGCCGTTCTCCCCCTGCACACGTTTATGTTCAAGATTGTAATCATCGGAAAAATAGTCAGTAGAGATCAACCTGCGTATTTTGCGATCAATGCACCAATTTTGAACACAACTTCATACAAAAAGTAAGTAGTCCTACATCTTAAAGGTAGACGAGTGATGCATCCACGAGATATGCCAGACACACGATGATAATTTGAAGGAGTTGGTCTTTCTCCTTCAAGTCACGCGTGATTGAGGTTTTCGCTACCAGGGAGTTTGGTTAAGCCAAACACAAGAGTTAAAAAAATAATTTGAAGTACGATAATTATTGGGATCTGTTTAACGTGACCGACTGCCATGTCTATCGTGAGCCAGAAGAACCCAATCTTTCGAAACCTACCCGAATTCACTGCTCTACTTTCTGGTGATGCTGTCGGAAGCATCCCACTTAGTTCACTCTTGTTGAAGCATTGTGTTATAACCGAGTGTGTGCCTGTGTCAACACTGGTTATATCCTTGGTTGATCTCACCTGCGTCGCCACTGTTACAACCGAAGGTGTTCCTGTGTCAACAACGGTTATGTCACACAGTTACGTGTTAGGAAGAGAAGGCAGAACAGGATAGCTGACTGTACTTTACTGTCAGTTGTACTAGTACATCAGCTCTGTCTTCATATTTGTACATCAGCTTGTCTGTATATCAGCTTGTCTTCTGTGGTCGGTCTCGTCTCGGCAGCAGAGTCTCGAGTCGTCGGCAGTGCCTCCAGCACAGAGTGGCCGCCTTCAGCGGTGGCAGCATATTTAAGGGCCAGTAGTCATT